TTCACCAATGCTGAGGTCACCTCCTTATAACTGACAGTGGTTCTATCATTAATCATTATAAGGACAAAGGTACCATAGTCATCCTCTGGTAATGAACATAGTAACAACATTGCATTGTCTTCATCCTCAACCATGATATCCACATTGGCCATATCTGATAGCAATTTCGTGAAGTTATTGACATGTTCTCTAATGGAAACTCCCCTCTTTATTTTGAATTGGTAAAACCTCTTCTTTAAATTAAGTTGATTCTCAATGCTCTTCGTCAAATACTTGTTATTGAGTATTTCTCACAACCGTTTCGTCGATGTTTCATTCATCACATCATAAATTAAATTCGGCGTCAAACATGATCTAATAACTCCACACGCTCTACCATTAATTTTCTTCCAAACCTTATCCTCCATATCATCGGGTTTCTCTTGTAATTCAAGAGTCTCCTCCAAATTTTGAGCGTCCAATGCATCCATTACTTGACATCTCCACAAACCAAAATTTATCTTTCCATCAAATTTTTGAACATTAATCTTTATATTAGCAATGCTCAAACATTGTATCGCCTTCGTCAGGGACGATCTGGATGCACTTGCTTCGGTCATTGTGACAATCCAATATTCTTCAAATGAGAATCCGCACCAGATCCCTTGTAGAAGCCCTAACTTTCTCCTCCAAAATCGAACTCTAAGCCAACCCGGAGCTCTGATACCACTTGTTGGGCACAACGTACACGGACACACAAGACGAGCGAGTAGAACAAAACAATAACCAAACATAAGCACCACACAACAAGAAACCAAATTTTACGTCCTACGTCCACAGGGCAAGGAGGGGGAAGATCTCACTAATAGAGAGAAAGAGTACAAATAAGGTTTACAATCACTCAATAATCTCACAAAAAACACTCAAACAAAACTCTCAAATCCCTCACAAATTCTCCCTTTCTAAGTGCTCAAAACAATGCTGTTTTTCTCAGTAGTTAACCCTAGAAACGTCATATTTCTATTTATATCAAAACAACAAACCCAAACCAATCAGGAAACTGAACTGGGCCCAAACATCGCGGTCGACCGGACATGTCGCCGCGATCGACCGGCCAGAGGGTCGAAAACTGACCCTGTAAACATAACAGGGTTCAGTCGACCGGGCATGTGCATCCGATCGACCTGCCAGAGAGCTGATTTCTCAGCCTGTAATCCGGTCGACCAGACATGTGCTCGCGATCGACCGACCCTTGATACCAAATTCCCCTGTTCCTATGCATGTTTCCGGTTGACCAGACCTAAGTCCGCGATCGACCAACCAGCACCCAAATTGCCTCCAGCTTTATTTTTCTTGTACTTTTTCGCTGTTTCTACAGCCAGATCATACAATTATTACCCTAGTAATAAATCCACCGCGATGAAAGTCTTTTTTTAAGACCCTATAAATCCCTAGGAGTTTGGGGAGCAGCCAAAAACCCCAACCAACCAAAGAGAACCTGTGTCTCGCTGGAAAGCCCAAAAAGAATGGGTTTGACTTCCAAGACCACCACCATCATCTTCACACTCTCACTCCTCTTCACACTCTCATCTTCAGATTCAGTACCCGTTAACCCGAATCCGAAAGAGCTCCCATCCTTCAAGGTCCAGCAACCCCAGGTGAGCCCAATTATTGGTTTGTTTGATATCTTCTCTTGAAAAGATACCAATAAATTTGACCATTAAAAGGGATGATTTTTTTATTTTTATTTTTTATTTTTTATTTTTTTGGCAGTTGTTGTCGAGGGGATGCTCGTATACAGTGACGATAAAGACGAGCTGCTCTTCACCGAGATACACCAGGGATTATATTAGTATTGCTTTTGGGGATGTTCATCGCAACGAGGTATTTTTGAAATGATGCTAGTCTTTCTAGATCGATGGCTTAGTTTTTGGGTTAATTAGATTTTGATGGATAGCAAATATTTTTGTTTGGCCAAATATCAAAAAAGCCCTTTTAACTTGGACGATTACCTGATAACCGCTCATAACGTATAAAGATATCAGAACCCCGCTTAGGGGGTTATCAACAAACCCCATGTAAACTTTAAGATTTTATTGGAAAACCCACCTAACAGCCGTTTACCGCAGTTTTCATATGAGTGGTAAAATTATGTAGGCAGATCATTCCTTGTGAAAAAAAATATTAAAGCCAAGGAGGGTTTTCTTTAACCCCTAAGCTTAAGAGGGGTTCGCTGATATTTTGAAAAGTTATGAGAGGTTATGTGATAATCATGTAAACTTAAAGGGGGGTTTTCTGATATTTAGCCCTTTTTACTATATCAAGATTTCAACAAAATGTTTGATTGGGTGTGTTTGCAGCACCAAAAATTGTTCGGAAAGCAAATTATTAGGCTAAAAGGGAGGAGTCACTACTGTGGTAAATTGTCAGGAGTTGATTTACAATGTGATTAATACACTTGTTGTTCCCAACTACTTCGAATTAAACACGTCCTTAGATTTTGATGCTAGAGTTCCAATGAAAAAGCTATCTATTTATCTGGAAAATATTTGCTTAGTTTTATAGTTATCGAAAGACTTGTGTTCCAACAAAAAAATATGTATACTTCAGTCAAACTTACAAAATTTCAGCTTGTGTGTTCTATACCCAGTAAGTATTAGATCATTGTTATTCAAACATCTTTTCTATTTACGCTTTTTCCTGTTTAAACTATATAATCTTAGGTTTTTTCCCTTAAAATTTACAGTTACCACAGAATGAGAACATTACAGTTACCACAGAATGAGAACATGTTCAGGTTGTTTTTAAAAAAACAATATAAGAGAGTTAACTTTATTCTCTGATAAAAGTGGAAGTCTTAAATATCTCCCAAATGATTCCTAAAAAGAAAAAAAAACTCTCAAATTAAAGATCTTTTTTATGTCACATGACTTTCAAATTACATAGTCTGAAAATTAGCTCATAGCTCAGACTAAATCATAGTTTTCTGATTATCATTTCATAATCATTTCTTATATCAAAAAGTGAAAAATCTTCTTATACCAAATAACTTAGTTTGTTTGTTAGTTCATTAGGATAATATATTTCGACCAAATTTAATTAGTTGTTGTTGTTGATAACATCATATTGTAGAGAATAATATATCTACAAACAATGAGATGGTAACTTGTAGAGAATAATATATCTACAAACAATGAGATGGTAACGCTTGTACTAGACCAAATATACAACTAATGTATGATCAAGCTGTCATGTTCCATGAACCAACAAACCAATAAAATATACACATGTGGTTCTTGCTAGTTTGTAAAAATGTTTGTATAACTATAAAAATCACACTGTTGTAATTATTAGCTTTTACTATTATACAGTTTTTTTTGAAGTTGTGATGTAAACTGAGTTATAAAACAAGATTAATGATATATACAGCCTTAATTACATAATACTACTCATTATTTTTAGCATTTCGCTCATGACGTCCCAACGCAGCTCTTTTTCTGTTATGTCTTGTATTATAGGGTGTGTATGTTCAATAATGATAAAAAAAAGCTTTTTAAATCAAATATGAGAGGATCTTTGTGCAATATATTGACATCATATAATATCTATATATAAAATATTGATAAGGGAGAAATAACATTGTTTGATCATGAAAGAGTCCAAGACTACAAACACTAATACAAGAACTAGGGGTGCCCAAGGACTTTGTCATTGTATCAAAACTCTAAAATTGTGATGATAATTGAGCATTATAATTTTACACTCTAATAATATGCTCCTGTAGGTGGAGCCCCTTTTTATGAGTTAAAATCTAGATTCTGCGGTATCTATGTTTTCTAGATCCGCTTTGAATTTGTGGTTAGTGAGATTTGAGACTGGGACCTAAGTTATTCTGAAATCATGTCAAAGAACCTTATCGCTACACAAAAATAAGATTGAGGGTTATAATTTTACAGAGAAGGCATGCCTGTAATTAACCTTGACGACTGGACCAGGTACACGTGGCGAGGCTCGACGATCCATCGAGCGGCACATTCGAGCGATGCTCGACGGACACGTTCAAGATGCAGGGGCCATGCGGGCATGGTGTATGTTACATCTACCTCCGCAGGCAGGGAAGGGACGGCTGGATGCCGGAATCTGTGACGATCACCGAAGTCGACTATCACAGGACTAAAACATTCTACTACCGCACGCCTCTCCCGAATTCGGTATGGTACGGGTTCAATAACTGCAACAAATCGATGCCTTAAATGTGGCTGAGGGTGCCGGCGGTGGTCTTATTTCTCGGATGCAGATGTAGATGGACATTGTCGGAGCTTGGTTTGGGGTTGTGTTGTTATCTTATGTTGTTGTGAACGTGTGATCTGTGAGGTTGTATCATGAGTTTATGTTGTTTTGCCTGTTGGATTGAGTGTAATCTAGCATGTTATATTGTTATTGTTGGATGTGTATTAGAAGTACGAAATAAAGATGGCTAGACCAAAACTTCAGCAGGTTGGAGCGGTGGATATTTCTGGCGTCTGATATGCTTGGAGTTGATACAATACGTGACACCATCAACGCGGCGTCTGTAGCTCAGTGGATAGAGCGTCTGTTTCCTAAGCAGAAGGTCGTAGGTTCGACCCCTACCTGACGCGATTTTTAATTTTTTAGTCTGCATTTTTTTTTTTTGGTTTTTTGTGTGTATATTTTACAATATCCAGTTACAATTTACAGCTATTTTTACACTTTACATTTTTGTAATTCAGGAGTAACTTTTTAACAACCATGAGGGACCTTAAAGCGGAAGAAAGCTAAGGAAATCGTGAGATTTTGACAGAATAAGAATTAATCGCAAATTTACGTTTTCCCCCCACATATCACTCGCTGATAATTTAAACCAATTTCCTAAAAGACCCTTTTACTACCAATCTCCGACGAGTGAAGCGGGGAGAAAGAAGAGGGTATTCACGTCAATACAATTACAATGGCATAACCAGTAAATAAATGTAAACCGGCCTGCCTCCCTCATCTTAAAAAAAAATCTCAACTTTTCTCCTCGTCCGCCCTCCTTATCAGCGTGAAATGGCGAGCGCAGTGTGCTCGCCCTTCTCAAATTCCATTTCTACCCTTATCAAGTCACCAAATTCCTCCTCTATCCCCATATTCTCCTCCCCTAGAAACCCTAGCTCCAATCTCAGACTCTCCCCTATCTCCAGCTCAGGCAGTCTCCGTCCTCTCAGGGCCCAGGTTAGCATGTGAAAAAGGTCACAGTTTTAGGGCTAAAGTTTGCATCTTTGAGAAAAATGAAGCAAATTTGGAGTTCTATTATGTTCACTCTGGTTATTTTCTTGTTGTAGAATGTAGAGACTAGCCAGATTACTGAGCCTAGTGGTATTGAATCTCGCGATTGTGAAGCGAACGGTGAGAACTCACAAAATTCGAGTCTTTACAGTATTCTTTGTTTAATTTTTGATATGTTTATTCTCGAATTTTGTAAATTGGCAATTTGCCAAAATTTGCCCAATTAGAGAATTGCTAGGGAACGCGGCTAGTTAAATTGTTATCAGCGAAGTGTCAATATATCATGCAATTGCAAACCGACCTCACCTCAATTGCTTTCATTCCCTACTGTCAGATTTCCATGGAAAATGCAGCGTGCTTCGCTTATGTGAATGCCCATCACTGACCATTGTAAATTGGAACATTCCCAAAATTTTCTTCTAAAAGCCCCCAAGCTCCCACAATCTCTGTCTCTTGCCAATTCGCAATTCGGGCACCTTCAATTTCTAAGATAAATTTACAAAAAACAAGTCTTTTTTTTTTTTTGTAGAACAGACAAGACAACCACCAAAGTGCCAACCTAATACTGTGGGATGGTGATATTCGAAATATTGAACATTTTGCCTGCTTTTGGTGATAACTAAGGTTCAATTATTGGTTTTATCTATTTATTTATTTTTTTGTTGCCGTTAGTATAAACTGTAATCCTCAAACCTCATCAACTTTTGAATTTTGGTGTAGTGGAAGGGAACTTTAACATGGTATTAAAGCAATCAGCTCAGATCCCACATCATGTGACATGCCACACATTTACAGCAGATTATAAGGGGAAAAAAGAAAAAAAAAGAAAGAGATACTATTGTGTGAATCAGGTTTAGGCCCATGAAAGCGTGCTCAGGTAGCAACAAAGTTTGAAAGTTTAAATTCATATCCCTTAACCCTCATCATAGCTTCAGAGTTCGCATGTAGTGAAAGGGACCTTCAACAGTTGCTATCCATTATCAAAGCCCTTGAAATATAGTATGCTGTCATGTTGTACATTTTACTTGTTTTATCCTTGACATATCTTTCTCTAACAGACGTTTCACTAGAAGAATTAGCACATACATGTCTTTTCTACATTCTTTTGTATAATTATCTTAAGTTGAATAAAACCCAGATCCGATCCTAGTCCGGGCTGCTAGAGGAGAGCCGGTTGATCGTCCTCCAGCATGGATGATGAGGCAGGCAGGAAGGTATATGGCTGTTTATCAAAAGCTTGCAGAGAAACATCCATCCTTCAGGGAGAGATCAGAGACAGTAGATCTTATAGTGGAAATTTCTTTGCAGCCTTGGAGAGCCTTTCGTCCAGACGGGGTCATAATTTTCTCAGACATACTCACCCCCTTGCCTGCATTTGGCGTTCCTTTTGATATAGAAGAACTGAGGGGTCCAGTTATTCAATCTCCAATTCGTGACAGGGAGGGGCTCAAGAAATTGCATTCCATTGACTTAGAGAAGGTTAATTTTGTTGGAGAGTCCTTGAGGATCTTGCGTAGAGAGGTATGACATTGATTTCGTTAACCAAGACATTGATGTAACTCATAGGACAAAATCTAGCAAAATGAATGCATCGTGGTTTGCGCTGCTTCGGTGTGTTTTTGTTTATTTGTTATGCATAAATTGTTTAATGCTATTTGAAAGTTCTCTCTTTCTTCGTTCTATAGAACTTTAGTCTTGGCATCATGTTGTTCCTGATAAATGAAAGTTTGTTTAACTGCATAATAAGCACAGAAAGGCATCCTAAAAGTAGTTTTCTCTTGTGTGAATTCTGAGTTGGTAATAGGAGGTTGATTTAAACAAAAAAGAGGGATTGATGTATTAGTTGTCTCTTAGGAATATAATCTGCAAATATCTGACATTTCATTTGCAAAGAATGTTTTCTTTTTCTCGTATCTGACATTATGTATATCATAGATCATCTTTAATCCGACCATTTCGCCCAATGCAAAGAATATTTTTCCTGACAAGTAGCTGGGCATATAAAAATAAGACGTGAATGTTGATGTTGGTAGTGATTTTGAAAGGTTAACAGTGTCTTGAATCAGAGCAATATTTCTGGAGTCTTTTCAGGGTAAAAGAAAGAGGCTATTAGAACCTTCATTTTCTGTCCTTGACAAGGCACTGCAACGTTGGAATTATCTAAGTGCACTGAGAGCAATCATGCTAACAGGCTACAAGTTCACTTTGTTCATTTCTTTGCTCATTCATAATCATAATTTTGTAAGTGTTTAGATAATTCAGCTAGATCACAGATAATATTCCTTCGTCAAACATCTAGTTATCATTCATCTGGAAATTAATGATTATTACTTGTTAGGATTGGGGAGAGGCTTGCAGAAGAGCATATGATTAATGTTTATGCCTACCTATGGCATAGCAGGTCTGATGAAAGTGTCTCATGCCAAGTCATTTAATCCCGAGTGTTAAAAATAATTCATCACCATTATATTGCTAGCATTCTTTCCTGCTTGTTGTCATCAATCTGGTAATCCATGATTAGCAGACCTGCATAGCATAATTGCATATAATTTTCATTTGATCAGGGCACGCAAAAACTTATAAAATAGCATATAATCAATATTTATGCCTCCCTAAAACATGCAGTATAAATTTCTGACAACCGCTTAATCTTTGTTATTATAGGTTGGGGATAAAGCAGCCGTTCTTGGTTTTGTTGGAGCACCATGGACAATTGCAACCTATATTGTTGAAGGAGGTACAACACGTACATATACAACAATAAAAAGCATGTGTTACACTGCACCAGAGGTGCTGAGAGCTCTTCTCTCTCATCTGACCCAAGCGATAGCTGATTATATTATTTACCAAGTAAATTCTGGAGCTCAGTGTATACAAATCTTTGATTCATGGGGTGGGCAGCTACCACCTAATGTTTGGGAGATTTGGTCCAAGCCATACATTGAAGAGGTGCCCTTGTCATTTACGTTTTCTTATTACTTGCCAGATTTCCTTTGATCCAGTGGTTGTTCCTCTTCATTGCAACTATTCAGATTTGGTCCAAGCATTTTTCCTTGCATATGAATTTCATAGTACTTTCAAGTCAACTATTTTTTTCCCCATAACGGTTTCTCCTTTT